AGGAGGCCCACGCTGCGCGCCAAGAGGCGGAGGATTTCCTGCTGGGTACGGTGGACCTCATGCTCAACTCGCCAGACGCCTTCGAGACGGCTCTGGCGTCCCACGAGCTAAGTGAATCCCCCATTGGCAAGCGTCCGAGTGATGTAGAACCCCCCCCCATGACCGTAGCCGGCGTTGCCAAGTCTGTGTACAGAGAGGAATCGAAACAGGCCATGACGGCATGGTGAAACGCTTTGATGTGCAATCCACCTCCCGCATCCCTGCTTCCCCTGGTGTCGACCTAAGACCGAAGCGAGATGACGAGAAGGGAGGGGAGTGGCCGGTGAGGGAGGCCATCGGCAGCATGATGTGGGTGTCGACTTTCTCGCGTCCAGACGTCTCGTTCGCCGTGCGTGCGGTAGCGCGCCACGCCCACGCCCCGGCGAAGCGGCACTGGGATGCCATACAGAAGATCCTCGGCTACCTGAAAGGGACGAGGGACCTCGGCATCACCTACCAACGGGGATCGGGGTTAGGGCTTGCCGTGTACGTAGACGCTAGCTACGCCGACACGGAGGATAGGCGTTCGGTGTCAGGGTTGGCGACGACGGTCGGAGGTACCGTAGTCAGCCATGGTAGCAAGACACAGAGCATCTTGTCTCTGTCTTCGACGGAAGTCGAGTACGTTGCTGCCGGGGAGGGCGTCAAGGAGGCGTTGTTTGTGCGTGCTGTGCTTTCGTTTGTTGCCCCAGAGACCAGTGGTAGCAGCATCCAGGTCCTTGAGGACAACCAGGGGGCCATAGCGTTGGTGCAGAACCCCCTCAGCTCAGGTCGCACGAAACACACCGACATGATATTTCATTTCATCCGCGGATTGTTTAGGTCGGGGGATATTCCGGTCAAGTTCGTTCCGACAACGGAGCAACACGCGGACCTCCTAACTAAGGCCCTCAGCAGGGCAAGTCCACAGCACCACCGGCGCAAGTTGATGAATTTGCCGCAGAAGCTGTATCAGTTTCTAGCACTTGGGAGAGGCCATGTTTTCCATGCGGGGAAAGGCGCATAACTGTTGCGGTCTGTGTACCAACGGCAGGAGTAGGGGGCGTTGGGAGACCATCGTCCGGGGGAACGTAGTTCCTCGCGTTCTTGTCTTCGCCTTGGCCTTTCTAATACGTGCGGCCGTTGTGATCCGCTGTGATAGCGACGGTTTTTGTGGTGGAAGGGTTTTTTTCGAGGGGTTTTGCCCGGACGCCGGGTTTCCCCTCCAAATATTACCATGTTGGTATTTTCTGATGTATCCAGGGGCGTTCTTGTCCAATGGATGGTTAGTCACTTGCGTGAAGAACCAGGGACGGGTGGGTCTGCGAACATTGGTGTTGGATACATGTGCTGGATGATTTGGTGTAACGCAGACTGGTAAGGTTGCCGTTTGGTAGGGGGCACCGCGATGAGTCATGAGGCCCCTCCTTGCTGTGGGAGCCGCTCTTTGAGCACTCCCTCTTTCGTCCGTGTGAAGGACGGTCGTCGACCTCTCGTGAAGTATATACACACCGAAACAGTCTGACCCGATAAATATGTGGCGTAGGCCGCAAACACCTATATCCAGATCGGTCGATGTGTACCCATATGAGGAAGTGGTCGATCAAACCTATATCTATCGCACTAACGTGCAGCTCTGGGATCTGTGTGCTCCCCCTATCTACCAGGATGTAGTCGAGGATTGAGTATTCATTGCAAACTGCCCGGTGCCTGGTGAACTCCGGCTTATCGCATTCCCTCCTACCGTTCAACACCATCAGTTCGTCGCTTCCCAAGAATTCAAGCATCCTCACTCCGTTGTCATTCACTTTGTCTTCTCCGTGCTGCCCGATCGCCTGTCCTCTACTGGAAGCTTTCCCTACTCTGGAGTTGAAATCGCCCACCATGACAACTTCTCCCTTCCTACTGAACCTCTGGACATCTTCCCCAATTTGTCCAAAGTTCTCCTGCGCCTTGCTTGCGACTTTCTTCGACGACGGTGGGACGTATACGTTCCCTAGAAACAAATCTTTCTCGCCCCACTCCCCAGGTATCTTAAGCGACAGGCTTTCCTCGAACTCCGTTTTCACCACTGCTTCCACCACGTCAAACAAGTGTTCCTTGACCAGGAATCCGACT